CCTATGTTACTGTAATGCGATTGGTTATCGTCACTATCTGGCGGGAAGCTGATTAGGCTGGCAAGTGGGGCTTGGTCGGGATATTAGTAAGTACTAACAACTAGTGAGTATATAATGTCAACATATATAATGGGCCCCAGGTCTGAGGCTCCCATAAGGTTGAACTCAACTCGTAGACAACAATGTCTCCCGCAGCTTATCCCACCCGTCAGCTTGGTCGTAATGGTCCTACCGTCAGTGCGATTGGCTTCGGAGCTATGGGTAATGTTAGTGGTATTCTCCTGGTGCCTGTAGTCTAACAAGGTGCATGCATCGTAGGCATCGGCGCCTTCTACGGGAAGACGGACCAAGACGAGGCTGTCAGAACACTCACGTATGCTGCAGACCGCGGTGTGACCTTCTGGGACACCTCTGACATCTATGGAACCAGTGAGCTCGGGGTTCTCTCATGCATACACCGATACTATATCTGATGCATAAGTTCGCCAGGCCAGGCTGTTATTGGGAAGTGGTTCGCGGAAACCGGCAGGCGCTCTGACATTTTCCTGGCGACCAAGTTTGGCGCAAGGGATTTGACCCCAGGTGCTGCATCCCCGACAGCACCCAACAGCAAGCCCTCGTACATCAAACGCCAACTTGAAAACTCGCTGAAGACACTGGGCACGGATTGGATTGACCTCTACTACCAGCATCGCGTCGACCCAAACGTTCCCATCGAAGGTTTGCATACATATAATTTCAGCCGCAGGACTCGCTAACGCTGATCAATTTTATCCAGTCGTTCTTGAGACCCTGCGTCCCTATGTCGACAGTGGAAAGGTCAAATATATTGGCCTGAGCGAATGCAGTATCGATGTGTTGAAGCGTGCGAGGGGTGTTCCCGGAGTGGGTGAGAAGGTCATCGCGTGCCAGATGGAGTTCAGTCCCTTTGAATTGGACATCGAGAAGACTGGCTTTGTCGCTGCTGCTCGAGAGCTCGGAGTCAGTATCGTTGCATACTCTCCTCTTGGCCGAGGTATGATTCCACATGATATTTGTGGATCAAATGAGATACTGATACAAATACGGACAGGCATGATCACCGGACGGTGAGAGACTATTTTCCTCTGCAGCAATGGATACTCATCCTGTCATCAGCTACAAGTCTCGTGCAGAATTCGACCCAGACGACTTCCGCCAGAGTCTTCCTCGCTTTTCTGACGAAAATTTCCCCAAAAACTTAGCTTTAGTAGAGGAGTTCCGCACCGTCGCCGTCAAGTATGAAGCTACCCCCGGACAGATCGCCCTTGCTTGGATTCTTGCTGAACACCCCGACTTCGTGCCCATTCCTGGCACACGGTCTGTGGCTCTGCTAGAGGAGAATGCGAAAGCGGCAGAAATCCAGCTCGCTCCCGATGATGTAAAAGAACTTCGCGCGGCAGTTGAAGAGGCGGACATACAGGGATCGCGCTACGCCGAAGTCTACCTCAGTTCAATTATGAAGCATGACTGCATTGCATTAAGTGAGTGGAAGGGCGAATAAAATCTTAAATTGTATGCATCATATTCTGTAGTACGGGTATTGGTGTAGTAGTTCGTTCTGTATTCCCCACGAGGCTAAAAGAACCAACCAAGTTTCCAGAATTGTTCTCCTAGTCGCATATCGTCACTATTCAATTCTGCCTCTCAGCCAACTGAGCAGCCCCTTGGTTCCCTCTCGTTCCCACACCCTTCGCTGAGGCACACGGAATCTGTGACGCAAGATACGTCAGGCCTTGTATTTCCCATAACTAAATGAAGAAAGACGTACACATTACCATCCACGAGGAATACATCCAAAGGCAGGAGTCCAAGCTTTGGGGGTAATTTTCCGATCTCGTTATCACGAATGTCCAATTCTTCCAGCTTCCACGATGCACAGTCCCTATTACCCTTGAAGAGATCCGCGATGTCTTCAAACCCTTCCAGCCCTGTCAGATGGTTCCCTCGAAGACGGAGATGCCGCAATCCCTTTCGCATGTACAACGGATCAGTCTCTTCGGGGCTCGACGCCAAGATGAGCGACGTCAGCGCCTCTTTGGTGAGTGCTGCAGACGTTAAAGCGTTGTACGAAAGGTCCAACGTCCGAAGACTGGGGAAGAGCTTCGCTATTAGAGGCAAGAGCGATTCACTTACGCGCGACGAGAATTCGTCGCCACCGTTCTCCGTAGGGTCTTCCCTTGCCACGGGGACCGAGTTGGCGATACTACATCCTTCGAGACTGAGCTCTTCTAAATTTGGCAAGAACAAACTACCATCATGAACATCTGGAATGCTAAACGACGGATCTTTGCGCCGATTCGTGAGGGAGAGAACCTTCAGAGTTTGTGCGAGCGGATGCGTTATAATAGCGCCGAGCGGGAGAGTAGGAACAGGCACGGCAAGCGCGAGGTCTGAAGCAGTCGATGACGCGCCGTTCGAGTTCCAGGTTGACGGTCCCAGCGAAAACGAGCGGGCGTGCGCCGCCTTCGAAGGCGGCATCGAAGCGGGTAGCGTGAGTGTTTGCGTCTGAGAATCATAGAATTTGGCGTTGAACAACACGGAGCTCGCATTGAGCGGAGTGGGCGATGGAGACTTTCCCGAAGGGGTCGGAGACGGAGCTTTGTGCATCGTCTGGGGATTGGCTGCGGCTAAAGCTGCAGCTCTCGCTCGTCTCCTAGCGCCCTCCGTCAACAACCCTTGTTCTGCTTCGATCTCCCAAGGCTCTTTTTCTATTACGGCCCTTTTCCGCGGTGAACCAGGTGCAGAAGGTGGCGGAGGTCCAGAGGAAGTAGCTGACGACTGAGCTGCGGCGGCCGCTCGCGCTCGCCTCTTCGCTCCCTCGGTCAACATACCTTGTTCCGCTTCAATTTCCCATGTTTCTTTAACAACCTCCTTCATGGTCCTTAGGTCGGATCTTGACGCTGAAGCCGGACGCGCACCGATGTTCAAGCCTTCCTCTGCGCCTGCACCGCCGTGCTTTGTAACTCGTGCCTTTGCCCTCCGTTCAGCCTCTACCTCCCATGCTTCTTTTACCACTCGTTTGCCGAGGATGATTTGAAGGGTACCATCACGCGGCTCCTCGGTCGTTACCTCGAACTCTATTTCCTGCTGAACATATGGCCGCCTAAATGATGCCTCGATCGCAGGTAGTGTGACATGAGTCTCACCGAGATCGAGAAGTTTTAGCACGCGGAAGGGAATCGAAGAGTCTCCAAGGGAGGAAAGGATGTCCACAGGGAAAGAGTCATTTCCAATCTCTGCATGCTCTAGTCGCAACTCGCGCAATCGCTCAAGGCAGGCAAGGGCTTGCAAGAGTGAAACACTATTTCCAAGAGGATTTACAGATAGGTCCAATTTAGCCAGTTGAGAGGGCAAACTTGAGACATGCGAATGCTCGATCGCAGACGCGAAGATATGATTGTGCGATATGTCTAGTGTAGTAAGTCGAGGGAGCGGAGCTGTCGCACGTGTTATGCTTTGTGAGAACCACTCGCCGCGGCGATCAGTCGTTCGGGCCAGTGGAGAAGCGCCAGGAATGTCAAAGGGGGCACGAAAAGGGAGGGCAGTAAGTTCATTGTGTGAGAGATTGAGGGTCGTTAAATTGGGAAGCGCAAATAAGTTGGCGGGGAGCGAAGTAAAGCTATTGTGAGACAGGTCCAGGTTGGTAAGTGAAGTCAGGTCTGCAAAGCTATCCGGAAGAGTTGAGAGTCTATTGTTATGCAGCTGATGGAAATTTTGTCAGTAAATAAGAATAAACATAATACAATACTTGGACTCACGTCAACGTTCTTGAGAGAGCCAAACATTGATATTTCTGGCTGAATCTCCACTATTTCATTGGACCACACCTTGAGGACTTCCAGATCCTGTGCTTCGTACCATGACGGCGCGTTATTCTGCGTGCCCCTCCGGCGCGTCGCTGATACGTCATCACTAGATGAAGTCGTTATTGGCGGCTCATTTGGTACAGATTTGAGAGGCTCAGGTTTGACACCGAGGTGAATCTCAAACAGCGCGGAAGGAATGCAGGGAAGCGCACGGGAAGCCAGATTGAGAGCACCTTAGAATACACCCTGAATGATCAACTCTCAAACTTGTAAAACAAAAGTAAGAATCAGCGTGAATATGTCAGGAAACCCGCCAGCAACGCATATGCACTCTAACCGAAGCTATCGTTTGAGAGGAATCATAGATAACTATAGGCCGTAAGTGTGAGCGCATTAGCGATAGATTATTCCGACCAGTTCTACTCGGCCCACGCTACGATAGGCGTAGCAGCATATATATACAAGTGGCACTGAGATCACCTGCTTTGACATCAAAGATGAAAGCGGCATTTCTCCAGCCGCACACTGATTCTGGACGGCTACCTGACATACTTGCACCAGGGCGAAGGGGAGCTCACCTGTAGTCCGAGCACGCTCAATTGACTCCTTAACAGACCATCGCCCAAGGTCCACCTCATCTTCATCCTGTTTCTTTTTGTCTATCACCGTAGGAAGTGCGTCGTCGAGCCCCGCAAAGCCAAAACTGTCGTCCACGCCTTTTCTAGGAATAGTTTGCGCTTTCTTGGCTTCTGCGCGCTTCAAAGCAATTTGCTCTCTTATACTGAGAAGCGGCTTGGTAGCCGGTAAAGGCTCATCGATGATAGGAGCTGTGCGTCGCACGGGTGACTTCGGAGGCACTGGCGATTTCGATGGCTTGATACTTCTTGTGCTAGTTTGTTTGCGGAGCGTCGGGGACGGAGACGGAGAAGAGGAGGGTTTTGCAGGAGTTAGCGTTGGCTTAGAAGCCGGAAACACAGACGATTTGCTCGGAGAGCGGCGAGAGGAGGGAGGTTGAGGAATACGAGACATGAGAGGGCATAAAATGCGTGAATCGGCGTGACCGCGAAAGCAGACGCGTTTGAGCACGTGGGCTTATCCCGAATTGAGGAGAGGGACCCCGGATGCTTGGGCACATTTCGGGGTCCGCATACCCGGCGCCGCCATCGAAATTGTGCCAAGCATCCGAATCCACACAAGCGTTCGCTGTCCGTCGACCTCAAGACAAAATCCTAGGCCCCTTCACTCCCGCAAGCCATGTAAGTGCCTCAATCTGTCACTTCGACGCTCTGCTTTTGCTGGGAACTATTTATGGGGTTGTTTGATGTCTGGGGAGGGCTGGATGGGCACTGTCGGATTTGGATGACGGGGCTCGACTATCTTAAGTGAGGGGACCGGTTGCTCACGTCGATGTGGTTTTGCAGCCGGATTAAGTGCGACGAACGCTCGCAGTGAGTAATTACGGATTTCAAGTTGCATACGACTCGCTGACACACTCGCAGCTTCCGACCTCAAATCTACTTCGCCCAGCATGATCATTTCCAAGCCCCACAGGCGCATCATCTACGAGTCTCTCTTCAAGGGTCTGTCACTCTTCAGTTGCCACGATCTTTACAGATTTTGATTTGCCATGTTTTGTAGAGGGTGTTCTTGTCGCCAAGAAGGACTACAACGCCCCCAAGCATGAAGAGCTCGATGTGCCTAACCTTCACGTCATCAAGGCGATGCAGAGCCTGACATCCAGGGGACTCGTGAAGACGCAGTTTTCTTGGCAATGGTACTACTACGTCCTCACCCCTGAGGGCGTTGACTACCTTCGTGAATGGTGTGTCTTCATCCATAAGATTCATCGTTCAATGTCTCATTGACGTTATGTTACTCTAGGCTGAACTTGCCCACCGAAATTGTACCCGCGACTCACAAGAAGGCTGTTCGCCCGCCTCGTCCTGCCACTGTGCGCGGCTCTGGCGAGGGTGCGTACCGCCCGCCCCGTGGCGACCGGGACGACTACCGGAAGAAGGAGGATGCACCTGGCGAATACAGACCACGGTTTGCGGGTGTTGGGCGAGGGGCTCCAAGGGACTAGATGGCGCGGATAATTCCTCCATACATCATGACGCAGTCGCGCCCACGACTGCTATCGGGCGAACGGCGGATGGTGTGTTATGAATTCATTATGATTGCTTCCTGCCGTCTGTCGCAAAATTGTAGTATGAGCTCCCCACGCATCGCTTATGCTATCTTTACGATGCTTTCTATCTCAACGTCTATTGTGTTACTGAGTATCAACTACTTATCCGAAGAGATTCACTGTATTTCTAGGTAAGTCTTCCGGGCGCTCGTTGGCTCTGCCCTCCACAATTTTCTGTGTTGCGGCGCTGTGGGAATCATGTAGTCGAACGCGTTTTTTTGGCTTTCTCGTCATCAACTTACCTCATGTGGCCGCACTCTCTGGTGCTGGCTACCAATACAGCCGATCTTTGTGCCACCATGGTCTCCAAGATGCTTCTCACACCCAAGTCTTCCAGTACAGTCTCTTCATCGTCATCTATCAAAACCCTTTCATTGATTGCGCTCCTCCCGCCAAGCGCTTCCATAAGTCCTGTTAATTTCCATTGAGCCAGCTCTCCCCCAGGCAGAAAAGCATCTCGAACGACTTCGATGGCTGCTGCATGCTCAGCCAAAAGACCCTTAGTCGTCTCAGCTTCCAAGGTCTTGGACGTAGTATTCGAGGCAACAGGATAGTCTGACCACAGCCACACGGCCTGAATGCCGTACGCAAGTATCTCATCGTGAAGAATTGTATCCAGAGCATCGATTAGTGCATCTGCGCAGGTCAGGAGCATATGAGAGGGAGCTTTCTTCATATGCCAACGCACTGCAAGATACGGTGTCAGGGACACTGTGAGTTCAGAGGCGAGAGCGCGAAGCTTGGTGGAGTAATCGAGGTGAACGTGGTTTTTGGAGCCTTGTTGATGCAGATTCCAGTAAAGCAGTAGAACGTTTGCGGCTGAATAGTTCTTTCCGTTGCCGTCCTTGTCGACAAGCGTAGACTCATCCATACCAACAGAACCTTCTTTGGTCAACTCAGGAGTATCTCCCACATTCCAATGCGCCAGAGTGTCCGCTAAAACAAGCGATGGATTTATGTTAAGAGTAGGATGCATGCGAATGCTGAGCGAAGAGTCAAGTTTCAATCGGTGAAATTTAGTAGCCAAGCATTTCATTCCCTTCAGTTTTTCTTGAGCTACGGAAGCGGAAATTGTTTCGATACGCAGAGGCTCTTTTGCAGAATCAGTAGTCTGGCCTTCCATCCGGTCTGTGTCGGTGTTCTCATCGATGAACACGATCTGTCCTGTCGGCTCCAGAGGACGCATGTCAATCCAGGTGCGAAAATTGTCCATCATCATGACACGCTCGATGCCCAAGCGCATAGTGCTTGTCAGATCAAAGTATGTAGTGTAGTCCCAGCGCAAGCAAGCCCCAGCGCGTCCACGTCCGACGTTAGGGAGCACTAGCGTACGATTCATGGTTTTGGCAAGAGTCAACAGCTGAACAAGGTGCGCTTGCGTTTTAGGATCGCGCTCGGTCACTAGTAAGGGCAGGAGGAGCCTACAATTCCCTCCAGCACAGAACTGGCTGTCAATTTCCTCCGTCGTTTGTACGGGTTCTCGAAGTTTAATTTTAGATTTCGCGGAAGTCTGCACTTCGGGTAACACAGTCACTATAGGCGGCCATCGGCGGGTACTACGATACCCTGTATGACTGACTTCGTCGAACCCATCGGGCACATGAAGGTCATGCAACTTTTGCATGATTGAGCGAGTCACCATGGGGATTTGTATCGTAGGGGTGCCCATCTGCATAGCCCTCTTTTTCGTCTGAACAGTTTGGTTACTTGGTTTGCGAGGAGGAAGATTATTCTTGTGTGAGCCAGACGACCCAGAACGGACAGCAAACTTAAAGCCAGATACAAGATACAGAAGCCACAGAACAGAGATCGTAGCCAAGATTACTAGTAGGAGCACTAGGCGGACTAGTGCTTGGCTTCGTAAAAGAGTGACTCGAAATAATTTCTTGCGAGAGACTTCTTCCTTCCTTGTTTTCATCAACGGAGACACACCATGGCCAGAGCCATCCACAACTGAGTTATTTCTGGAGTCCCGCGCCCAGCCCGAGGGTTGCTTTGGGGTCCGAGAGCGTAACATATTACGTTGTTCTCCTGGAGAAAACCACTTGTTGAGCTAATGCAATATGGAGTAAAGATTGTTATGAGTAATACTACTTGATGCCGTAGGAACCGGATGAATGTTACACAGAAAATAATGCTTCAAGATTCAAGATTCAGCAGGATCTATACATGCTCCTGGACAAACTCACCAGAGGCTACGGTGGCATTTGAATATGAACGTTGAACGTTGCCTCCTCCTCCAGGCCATTCAAACTCAGCTGTGGCGTCTGAATGTCTCCGGCTCGTCGAAGCTCCGAGCAGTCACTGATACACATTATGATTCGCTGTTCATTTGGACTGTCGGATCAGCCATACAATTCTATTCTTCATCAAAATATCCACGGTTTCATGGAAAACACCTGCTTCGGTTTGTCAGTTATTACGGAAGGATGTTCTCGGTTCCGAGCTTTTGAACGAAGGTTGACAATTGTTGTGGGTGAGAGTCAGTCCCCAACCTCTGAAATCTCTTGTTTTCAGGACAGGCAGCCCTTGATATCTCAATACCATGCCTGACTGCTCTAGCATCGAATGTCGAGACAAAGATGGCGTATGTATGTCCCTGTGTTGCTTACTCGAGGATTCTAAATGCCGGTGTAGTACTATCGCGACGACAATGGGCCACTTACCTGGATTCGACGTCTGATCATTTGCGCGGTGCTGTCTTCCCGAATACTTTGACCCAGTCTTTCCACAGCCTTTTGTTACGGTCTTTTATTCTACCAGGTATGTGATCCGTTGCATGACTGTACTAGTGTCCAATTCACTTATTACTACTTTAAAGAGGTGGAGTGAAGCGAAATAGTCGTGCTGGGCAGTGGGTGTTACAACTGGTGTGAGTATCGAATTGTTAGAGCGCCGAAGAGGATGTGTTGTTGGTGCGTCTCGATTCGGTCTCGATCATTCAAGCGGGATCAGTGTCGTTAGCAACATGTGTAAATGCCGCCGCTTGAAATCGGCTGCGTTCGACTTGTCGACTTGTCATTTCCTGCTTCGCTGGCACTAGAGGTACGTGGCTCTGTACCAAGGTCAACCCATTATAATTCACTGCTCCCTTTCCATATCATCACAGTTTATCCAGGTCCATGCTTCAAGTTTTATGGTGCGCGTGCGCCTCACAAATCCGTGCATTTCAGTGAGGTCGCAGATGGTATATGTTAAGATGATACTGAAAGTGGCATATATGATCAAATTAGCTATTTCGTTTCAACAAGAATAGAACATGGCCCAGCCATATCACAAATTCACCTCAGTAAGTCTTATTCGACAAAATGATGCTTTGGAGCTCCATGGATACCAGCTCATGTTGCGGAACATTGATCTTTCTTAGATACCTGCAGTTTGTGAGGGATCTGGAGAATTACGGCAACCTCTGATACTATTACGAGATTCAATGTTTCGTGGCCCGATACAAGCCCACTCGTACATCGGAGCTCTCCCAGTTGAGCTTCTCGACATCATTTTCAAGGAGTTGTGCTACATGTTGCCTAAACGAGAACCCAAGGTCTGTGGCATAACCTGATTCTCGAGTTTATTTGTTGACATGTAACCACAGACCCAACTTCTGAAGCAGCTTGCTTCGGTCTGTCGGTTCTGGAGCAATACGCTATCTTTGAACCCATCATTTTGGACGTCAATCCTCATCATCGTTGGTAAAACACCGACTACATTGGCGGATGTTCACATGCATTTGTCTCTGTCCGGAAACCAACTACTAGACATCCACTTTCTTGGTCGGGGTATTTTCCACTCGCCTGCGGACGAAACGTCTCAAGTTGCGAAGTTCATGATCCTCCTACGCCCTCACATCTCTCGATGGAGAAGTTTCAACGCACGATTACACCATCAGGAAGCATTACCTTGGCCTGGGATCGACATACTTGGTCGCGCTCCGAAGCTTACTCGGCTCTATCTCAAGTCTCGTGAGCCGGACGACGAGGGTTGTAACCCTATCCAATATCTAATGGAAGGCTTTTTGATCGCACCTTCCCTAAAAGAACTCCATGTCGATGGCTTCATATTCAAGAACACCTACCTTGAAAAGCCGAAGCTATTGGCATCGGTGACATCGGTCTCCATCTCGCATTTCGCCATGTATCACGAACCAACAATGTCTCTTGACGGCCTGATTAAATGCTTGCACGCTCTCCCTAGACTGCAGTCCCTGACGCTTTCATGTGTCGAATTAATCTGCAGGGAGGACGCTGAACCGCTCATGCACGCGTTCCGCCCAAAATCCATTACGTTCCGTTGCATAGAGCGCTACGTGCTGAACGAGTTCTTTCGTCTTATCAACGCACGCGCACCCAGGGAGCTGGCATTTATTCGCTGCGACATTCCTAACCCGAGTATTATGCGTTTGGAGAATGTCTCCGTCCTAAACATCCAGGACGAATGGTCGTCTGAATCCGTCTTAATGGACTACCTCCTCCGCTTCAACGGTAGACGTTTGCGACTTGCCGATAGCTCCAAGTTTGGCCCTCGCGAGCTCGAAGCGTTGTCCTGCGAGCAGCCCTCTGGACAGTGGGTGTGCCCATACATCACTCAGCTCCTCATCGACTACTGCGCGCAGTGTACAAGTGCCAACATCCGCCGTATGGTTGAAGCGCGTAACACAACGTATGCCATGTCCGGATACGCTCAACGTTCAGATCCTCACTTCAAAGTCCACCCTATCCAGTTCATGGCGATCTACAATTGTGGTGTCCTCGATCCAGCTGACAAAGAGTGGTTCAATGCGAATGTTATACATGCTATCTGGGACGATTGGGATGGTGGATATGGCGAGTACGATTAGCCATAGACGGCCAGCTGGCGACATTAATGTTTCCTTGCGGATACTGCGGTTCGGTGTGCCTTTCTACTGCGTGCTCACGGATGTAATGTCGGATTGTTAATATATTCACTGAATACGCTTATTCGACGTGCAATACAACAAGGTTGGCAGGCATGACATGAGTTAGCATTCTCCTACCAAAACCATTATATGAATTTGCAACAGAATCACATCAGTTGAGGAAGTCGATTAGAGATCAATATCAACTACTTACCATCATGATCTAAGTATTCGACTGACAACTCACGCTCGCAGGTCTAACAACCGCTCAACCTTCTGACCGACAATACACCCTCCAAATTGGGTCAATGCATTCCACTGCCGACCCCACAAGACGCATAGGTGACATTTTTCTGCATGGAGCTTGGGTAGGTAGCTGAGCAAATGGTCAAGTGTCGCTTCACCTTGATCCTCATCATTTTCTGCGATGTCACTTTCATCGCATATATCGAGTACAACATCCGCCAACGATCGCGCTCCGACAAACGAGGCTAGGGCATCATCTAGGGGCACCCAAGAACTGCGCCGAGTGAATCCTTTCAGTCCAGGCATTCTCAAGCTGGTCCGCAAGCGCTGTAGAGAACTATGAGTCGATGTCACTTGACGAATAATGAGTGAGGCGCATTCCAGTATAGCTTGGAGTGAAGCTGCGTATGATCGCCCGAATGGGAAACCGAGATGCAGGGTGTTTATCTGCGTGTTGTATCTGAAACTAAATCATTCCTCAAGTTGTGGAATCTCCAGAAACTTGACGCCCGGTGGGGAGGTGATAGAAACAGCGAGCTTGCGTAGGTTCGAGCCTGTCCGCTTGAGATATGCTTCTTGGAGGTCTATCATTAGTGATGTACCCATAGGCAAATATAGATTCAATTCGCGCAGCTGGAGATCAAATGGGCCACCTAGCAGCCACGCATCAACATGCTCATGAAGGTTAAACCACTCGAGACGTTCGATTCGGACTGTCTTTGAGGGAACAATTTGCGTGAGATAGGCAGGCACAGTGGGATTGGAGTATAACGAGATGAACTCGCCCATTGTACCGGATGAGGTTCCGGTCAAAAGGACTTGGTCAAAACGAAGGGTCTAGAGTTCGGGGAAGCAGCATAAGAAACGGATAAGATCCGTCTCTCTCCACTCGCTACGGAATGCGGCCATCAAGCGCAGGGATCGTATTGCGGGTGGCGAGGTACGCAAGTCCTGCAGAAACGTATCCGTCAGCTCAGGGACGGTCCAGCCCTCAAGCGTTAAGACCGTGATACGCTCGAGCCTTCGCAGCATCGAGGGCTATCCTCGCACCATCTGGTTCCGTCGCGGTGTGGAACCCGGCGCTTGCAAGAGAGTGAGGCGATGGACGTTTTGCGCAACAGAGGCATCCTCTTTCGGAAGGTTCTCGAAGTTTGTGAAATCGGAGAAGGTCGTGAGCTTAACACTATGAAGGGTGTATTTCCGCGTCCTGGGAAGCCATGCACGACATGTCAGGGCGCATGTGGCTAGGGAGGAATAATCGTCCCAAAGATGGTCGATAATACTATCATTGCACCAGTAATGCAACTTTTTCAGTATCTGGGCTCCTTATAGCGCACATTTTACCGGAACGTCTCGGAGTTTTCACCAATTGATGCAGAATGTTTGAAAGTACATACACGAATTTCATAGGCTCAGTATGTCAAGAATTGAGCAATACCGAGAGCAAAACACAAACATAACAGTAGTGCAACTTTTCTCCCAGGCATGTCACGTCGACCGTCACAATGCCGCACATGCCGTTTTCTTTGTCCGCCCAGCGTTCAGTGGCTGGACTGCGAAGTTATGCGAAGTACGCCACCACTACCATCAGCTGAGTCAAGATTCACGACGCCGATTGTGGCTCAATGTCACAGAATTGAGTTGCTACTGTTCGACACAGGATTCAGGAGGGGTACACTATGCAGATTATTCCGGAGGAATTAAAATAGAGGCATGTATGTTCTTTACATAGCCACGGTGAGTTACTATGTCAGTCGGACATGGCAATCACCCACCCGAGGCCACTCTTGGTCAAGATGTAGTGCTCAAAACACACTCGCGAGGCATTCGAGTTGCTCTCGTATTTTTCATTCATACAAAAATCACAACAATAGTGATAATAATTGTAATTTGTATCATACATGATTTATTGGGATTTATAGAGGGGGAGGAGCAGCTGTAAGTTCAGTAATTGCCCTACTGTTGTGATTGCATCACTGATGCAATGATAGTATTGTCGAATAGCTCAACAGGTGACATCCATCCATTTCCTGGAGCTATGTCGGCGGGCACTGTTTGAGGCTGAGTGTCACACATCATATCAGTGGTTAGGTGCTTGCAGCGGAGAATTGAGTGGGGAGATACCTGTTTCGCCCCCTTCGTCTGCCTGCTGCCTGGCCCCTTTCGCCGTTTTGGCTTCTTTTCGGAAGCCATTTTGAAGGGGTGGACTTGAACACAACCCGATGCGCCGCGTCGTCTTGGTGGCAAACCACGTCAGGAAGTGTCATGCACGTTATATCGTCCATGTGTGATGATCGCGGCGCGATGCTACAGGTCACGGCAGGTCATCGTAGAAGTTGTGCTATGCCACATTGCCATGCATGATCGCTCACGTTGTCACGTATGTATATGAGCTCTCGTTTTTGCTCCGATAGACACGACATTGAACACATTGGCCCGTATCTTATACATACTCGCAGAGCGTCCTGACGTGCAAGATAAATTGTGTGCTGAAGTGCTAGATGCGCATGCTAGGGAATCCTTATCATACGATGAACTCGACTAACTCCCCTTACTCGATGGCGTGTGCCACGAGACATTGCGATTGTAAGCTGGGTCTGTTGTAGATACATTCAAGACGGACTATTGATACTATACAATCTTCCTTTCTATACGCTACTTACTTCCGCTCTATTACTTTATACGGCAACTCCGCTGCGTACCATTAGAGACGCCAGCGCGTCGACTTCCCTCAGTCCCCGATTACCATATCCTGGACTTAGGTACGTTCGTTATCATCTATATGTAACTATATACACTCGTACTGACACGTACACAGACTCTCATTATCATAGGTATTTACCGCAGTCCCCGATTACCATATCCTGGACTGAGACTCATTATCATAGTCTTCCATTAGGGTCTGCCTCATTCGTGCTCCTTGCTGATAGGAATTTCCCTGAGGGATGTGCCTCTCCAGTACCTTCTGCGCGTGTAAATAGTTCTAGTCATAGATGATTCAAATGCTAAAGTATCTTGATGGGTCAGTGCAAACCAAGACACAGTTTTTCCATTGTCTGAGCCCATTGTGGGAGTTGACGGCAGCTTAATCAGTGAGATTCCCATAGCCAAGGGAATGGAGATTATTATGGGAGTCCTGGGCTGCAACGCGAGCAAGAAACTTTGGGGCGAAGATGCACATGAATGGAAGCCTGAGAGGTGGCTCTCCCCCTCCCGGAGATGATCACAAAGACGAACATTCCTGGTGTCTATGCCAACTTGTGAGTCTCAGCTTGTGCTTTAATGAGCAGTGCTAATTATATTCCAGGATGACGTTCATTGGTGGCAAGAAAGCGTGCATGTACGGCTTTCATTGTTCAACCCTGGATCACTCAAGCTCACGGATTAACACAGCGGTTTCAAGTTTTCTGAAATGGAGATGAGTAAGTACACTCTGAGTTCTACCGTACATCTACTGAAGTAACCCAACTCGCGTCCTTGCAGAGATCGTCCTATCGGTGTTGCTTTCTAACTTCACGTTCGAGCTGACGAACAAGCCTGTTGTGTGGAACGCTGGTGGCCTGCGCTATCCCACGGTGAGCACCGTAAGTAACAAGCCCCAGATGCTGCCGAAAGTGCGATTTTATGAGGGCGCGAAAGCATCATGGTAACTACGGTCACATGTATGCTACATTTCCGGGCCCTCGCTATTGTCCTTCTTTCTCGCTCTGATGCTGTCGATACTGCTGTTATTTTACCTCGCACGCATATTTAAGTCTATTGTGTTCAAGTTGTCGCGAGCGTTTGAGCTTTTCGGAAGCTTAGAGCTTGCCATGAACTGTCAGCACCAGGTCTGTTGCTGGAATCAATTGTAACTTTCTGGGTCCATACCGTGCAATTCTGCCGCTTTGATTTGGTAATAAACTACGACATATGATGGATACACAATTCCAGGACTCATCTATTCCATAACAGCAATGCTCTAGATGAAATCTTCGATGAAGATTGCCATGTTTCCCGGGCTTTGAGTGCCAAGTCAATATGTTAGAGATTCGACAGTGAGGCGTGTGCATTTGAATTCGACTCGTAAGTGTGGTCTTCTGGAATACCATTACATGAGCCGCCTCACATTTCTTCAAGATTTCTTGTCTCATAGTACCCCCTGCTTCTAGGAGATGCGGAATGTGCTCTCTGAGCGTGTCTCTGGGTCTCATGACAGCAATTTCACGTTTTGCTGTGCTTCGTACAATTCATGAGGTTAATGATGTCATTATATCTTCCCCTAGCCCAGTCTGACTACTATCAGCCATGAAGTTCTACACCTGCATTGGTTCTTGACTTCCCCCAAATCTTCTAACCTTGAAGTGGTGTTGGCACTACATTCTCATGTCTTGTTCTGCGCCAGTTGTCTGATGGGGGGATGTCCGACATCGTTTGAGTTGCTTGAATTATCTTTCAGATGGATATACTATTCCAATTGGTATGATCTATAATCCACATAATGTCTCTAGATATATAAGAGGTCTCAATCCGTCCTTGGAAACTTCTTCCCAGTCTAATGACGGTCTGGCGTTCCACGTGTCCGATGTGAGCATTTTTGGGGACTATGCTATGGCTGAACCGCAATACATGTAACACACTTGCACTATGGCACGAATGTTTGTCACTGACACACACACTATAGTCTAGTGGGCATCAGTGGACTTCGCTTCTACACGGACATCAACCCGCAGGGAATATTCTGAGCCAGTGCGATCGTGTTGTCTTTATTTTCTAATGAGATCATTTGATTGTATACTTTAGCTGTTGTCAGCGTGGAAATCGAGTTGTGTACGTCATATTGCACTTACGACTCAAGTCATTAACTCCTCAAGCCGTCTAATGATGCTCTGAATATGTCCATCGCAGAACCTGAATCGGACGCGTGCATTCTAACAAAAACTGACTTTAACACCCATTTAGATTTGAATATGGAAAATCTCGACCTTTCAGTGATATCAATAAGTGAACTCACTTTATATGGATGTTCAGAAACAATACTGTTACTGGGTCCCAGGATGCAGACAACTGAATGCTCATAAGCCTCGGCGGACATCAGGTTAGTCACATATCCGCTTCGTATGTGCCTGGTTGCTTCCGCCAGAATGCAAGGTGTTTACTTGGCCTTCGATGAGATTTATCGAGGCCACGAACGGGCACCGAAATAAAGTACATTTCGCGCATACCGCGAAGGAGGGACTGTGCATCTTATCACTAGCAACTACAACTTCCTTGGCTCGACGGCGTTCCTAATATCCAGAGTATTAGCGGAATGAAGGGTGGCACGCAGAAAGATTCCGGCTCTTCATATAGTACTGTGACGGAGCTCCTATGCGGGAGTAGCCCAGGTAGGCTCAGCTACTAGCCCCCATTCTTCCAGCCAGCTCTCGAAATAACCTGCCACTTTCTGGTGACCTTCGACTGTCGGATGCAAATTGCTGGTACAGGAGTTATCGTACGCTGCCAAGATTTGAGTTGAGAGATTCTTACCTCGGAAACACGTCGCTATAATCAATCCATCCAGTAGCATTGACCAAATAGACGTTTCTGTCTCCGACACTTTGGCTGATAAGTTAAAGGATGAGTGACATAAGTGCTGTGTTTATATGTTTTACAGACCCAAACACATACCGGTATTCCACAACCTCCTGGTAGATTCCGACATAATAAGGCGCTGGAGGAGCATCAGCGCTCGGCCAGCCCCACTGAACACATGGCCCGATTGTTGTCAGTTTGTTCTGCGAAGACGTCGAAAGTTGACGCACCGGGAGAATGATGAACATCGGTTGGACAGGATAAATAAGACGTATCCTAGCCAAGAAGTCTATATAGGTCTTATCCATAATGGCAGTGAGTATGAGACGAGATGCAGTGCAACGGCAGGAATACCTCATAAAACGAAGATGCCGTCACGTTATTTCCGCTGTCGTTAGCACTTAAGAAAGGCGTGATCAACGCAGCCATTCAAAATTTGGGGGATTCTACCGACCCGATCATGACTACGACGTGCGTGGCAGCAGGATAGTCTCTTGCAAAGTTCCACGGAGTCGTGTAGTTGTGCATAGCATCTAAACGTTCATCAGAACGATTCCAATTCAGGAAAATGAGACTTACCATAGTAGTACTGCGTGTCCTCGGTCTTTGAGATCGAGGTCATCAAAGTATTCAATTTGTAGAAAGAATGGACTCAACCTGGAAGAATTGGTATGACATGCCGTGAACATTTCCGTATGAGTATATATCCTGTGATACAATAAATCAGAACAAAATGACGAAAAAACGCGCACGACATGCCGACAAAGCGATTCCTGGTTGCGCCTGAATATTGTGTTCGCCTTTGAAATACTCAGATGTGAGAAACGGCCACGCTTGATCGACTCCCAACGGAACATATTGGCCCTAATCACATCAGGCGGCTTTAGCATCGTAGATATGCGCGACTTGTCCAGAACATACAGCAGACAGAGAGTCACCAATAAACTGGAAAGCAATACGAGAAGGCTCGTAAGGTAAGAGAACTGCACCCTAATTGTACCAGTTAGCGACAACGGACGTCAGTCTATTTGTTGCTCTTACAGAATTGATTTGAATCGTCTCGAGATTCATGTGGTTGTCTTCCCATCCTACAGAATTAATCCTCACCACTGCGTTCGAGCCAGGCGCAAGATCCCCCAAAGGAATGACGTTTTCGCCCTGTGTCGCGTTAAATCCCGTGAAGTTTCCATAGTTTACCGATACGCCAAGCAGAACGGGATCGGAGGTATAGGGACCGAGGTTCAGCGTCAGGTTTGAGAGGTTTTGCACGTTGACCTTGAATCCAGAACCAACCCTGTAAATAGGATTATTTAACAGCGCCTTTGGAGAAGCAGCCTGAATGCATACCACCATGTCTCCGGTTCGATATCCCATCGACCATTGTAGTAGATCAACGGGTCATCATACGAAACCACAACAGATTCTGCGTTAATTGACTGCGACCATACAGCCGTTAGGCATAACGCAGCTGCAAGTCCGCACGTTAACGAAGAGAAAAAATTTGCGCCCATAGTGGAGAAGATTGCTGTCGAGGACAGACTTGAAGCATCTTCGAGTATTTTATAGAAATACTACAACCCGGCTCCGAGTCCTCGAAGAGCGTCCCTCATATGCTAGAAGTCACGAGTGCTGACTTCCTCACCGAAGAATTTCCGTATAATTTCTATGGGAATTCAGTCGAGCATCTGTCGTACGTGCTCGGATTCTGGGGCCGGTGAAGGATCAGCAAAGCGGGCGAAATGTGATAGACGATGGAACACCTACAAGTCATGTGGATTGTACATGCTACTCTGGCAAGGACTTGCAAGAATCATCAAATTGAACATTGGGGATTCAAAGAACAGTAACTGTAGCAATATGGCGCAACTACTCGTATCATCTTATTGTGGGTAGAGCATGAGCATCCAATGGAGCCATTCTATGGGTGTGACATGCAAGTCAGTGGACATGCGGAGGAAATGCGCAAATAAGTCGCGGAAGACTCGTTCCCAGCCTACGAAGTTTACACGACAGGATCTGATGGCCAATAATAAGGGCTGTTGTTTCCCCGAAAGCCGATCGACGCGGTCAAGAATGACTCCGAGTCAAGAATGAGCTTTCAACATAAATCAAATGTTTTCTCCATCGATCCTGTCTGTCGGCCGGTGGCACTCAGTGACACTCTGGTCAACTCCATCCTGCGAATATGGATCAACTGAAGAGGCAATACGATTTGACAACGGCTCCAGGCATCCCACAGCAGATGTACGTATGCAGGTTTAACACACAAGATCATCATATCTAGACAGTCACTCGATTGGTACGGGGTTAGCATCAAGGCTGGGAGCTCTGTAATTGTTCCTCACCACATCCTCGACCCAAATCGCACTCACCACCCCAGATATCATCCATCTCCACGACTTCTCCAGGTTTTGTCCGCACCCACATCCGTTTCATCAACACGACCGAATAATCGGACCACTTTCGGACTAACATCCTACGACAATGTACGCGTCTCCTCATGTTGTCAAAGGATCATAGTCGCACTGCCAGGATGGATGCACACAACTGCGACTCACCCTACAGCAGATGACGTGTCGTAAAGGCTACGTTGCTCATGCGTTTATTCATCTTTCAAGCCGAGAGACTCATCATCCTGCCCCAAGACGTGTGGAAGCCGTCAGATTGTGCGTGGTGAAGTATATCACCTTGCGCTTTCGGAACTATCTTCTGCGTGCACAGCAGCGAGGCTGAAAGCAGAATTGAGAGGCATGTATCCATTAATTTGATTCCTAGCGACTGCTGTCTTTGTGGAGACCCTTGTATCGATAGCAAGGTTATTCCAGTAGCTATACTGCGCTGTATCGATAGTAAACATATCCCAGTAGTCGGACTGCGTTGTATGATTGAGTCCTACGTGTGCAATACTAAGTATTCTCAGATTAGACGGAGACAAGGAATGCGGATCTATACGCGTATACAAATCCAACTCAGTTGTCAGACCTTGGGCATTCGTCTGAGCTCCTGGGAAGATTCCTATGGTTATGCTCAGTCACGGCATGGAACCGCTCCATAAACTTCTGCCAAAGGGTGAAGTCTAACCCATCGCCGTTGCGTACGCCCGCCTGTATCATCCACTCCACTCAATCAGTTCTTCCATTGGCACACCCAATCTCCCACTGTCTCGAGCGGGTCTCAGCTTCTCCACGTATGGCAAGATTCTCTGCACTCCCTGTTCCAGCATATGTGCATATATATCACTCGGCACGTCCTTCACCTCAGAGAACTAAACTAAAGACCAAGGACTATACGTTGAGTGAGGCTCGTCATGTTGGCGAGGGTGACGCCGATATGGCGCGCGCGAACTGCGTGGACTGTTGTCCCTCTCTTCGGATGCAGCTGGTGGAGACGCACTCTTGAGCATAGAAGCAAACGCCTAAGGAAAATTTGGGGCATCGAGGTTGTGTGCCCCGAGCTGCCGGAGTGAGTACTGATTGGAGACGTAGACGGTACATAGGCGATGAGGATATCATGCCCGACAGCAGTGGAGAGGACGCCAAATGAGATGTATTCAATGTGATCTCCAATCAAGGTGCCTGTTGCAATCGGCTTCCTCCTATTACACGAGCCAAATAATCCACACCTACTTCACTGGACCAGGTGCGCGAGCAATATATGCTGGGTCCATGCCAAATTGACTCCAATTGAGCTCTTGAGCAAGGCTGTCCTGTCGCACACTAGTGCAATTCCGACTCGGAATACAGACGCAAATGGTAGACAGGCTGAGAGACTGACCTCTGCATCAGTGAGTAAAAGTATACTTGAGGGACGAGTACACTCGGATCATGAGCAGTAGTAATTGCCAGTGCGACTCGGGTAGAGCGGGGACGCCTTCACCGACGAGAGAAAATATGGACGTAGAGAGCGAGTTTTCGTTTCTCCCCAAGTTGTCGAAATCCTCGCATGGTTTACTCACTGGATCAACTAGCTCACGAATGTAGTCTAGTAGTTATACGCACAAAGAGTGCTGGCTGGCGCTGGCTTGGCCCGGGCCAGTGCCAGGGCTGAAGACAAGAAGAGCGCCGGTCACGGAGATAAGATGATATGAATCCGAGTCTCGTTTTCGATCGAGTATAGGTTATAGGTTGCGTACCGATTCTGTCGGCGGGGAGATGACGTTACGAGAACTGTCTTCGAATCTGAACACTACTGAGTTTTGATTGCGGTCGCACAGGAACTATAATTTTGTGCATATATTGAGCTTATACAACATGAATCATATGTGAGAAAATCATAGCCAGCATAGAAGGTGCATAACATATCACGGCAGCAGAACAAAGCGGCGGGAGAGGCGACTAACCCGAGTATATACTTGTGCGACGATCTGAACGCTGGGACCAGCCCATACGAAAGGAGACATAACTGCAGACACACTTGTCTGACAGAATAAACTTGATGACGGATGATAGAGCGTGTTCAGACAAACACAGGCGGCGAGACTTTACTCAGCAGACCATGATTCCG